CTGTGGAGCATGCTCAGAGCGCCTCGGCCAGTTTGGCTCTGATTGACTGTATACATGCAGGAGGAAGTTGACAAGTAGATACAAAATACAACCATTTAAACTCATATGCCCCTCCCCTGTGCTTAAAAAATATTTGACATGCCTTCTTCTTTTTGCACTTCTCCTCCCCCCACATAAATAATGAACAGTCCTTAAGTATTCCTCTGCCTCAGCACATGTGGCGGATGCGGATGCTTGTGTCTGCTGACTCATAAACTTTGCTGTAATGCGTATTATCAAAGATTATCTGCTCTTGTTCTGAATTAATTCTCGCAGAAGTGTCAGAGGGTGCCAGCGAACTCATATGCAGGTGCAGCTACTTTTAGTTATTAGTTGTGGTTATTTTGCACATTACTTCTAATATGTTGTTAAAAGTAATAGTTTTTAGGAAGTAGACTATTCCATTGGTTTGGCATGTCAGGACTAAACACACTGTGGTTCATCGACCAGACAGTTTGTGGTGCAGGATGATGAGTTACTGTATTGATACTGTGTGTATTGACTCATTAGGGACTGTCCGTCATTATGAAGGCTTGCTCAACTCCCTGATTTCATCTTCAGCTTTTGAACTTTTCTTTATATCTTTCTTTAAATTTTAAAAAAAATATTTAAATTGTCTTTACATTTTTTAAGAATACATTCCATATTTTTTTAATTCTTTTTCTTTAAAATTTCTTTAACTTTTTAAGATTGTTCACATTTTCTTTAAACTTTTATAGAGAACATGACTGAATTAAAAAAAACTTAAAATTTTCCTTTAAATTTTTATATAGAAAACATGCCTTAAATTTTTTTGAAAAGTTTTTTGTTTCATTTTCTTGAAATTTTTAATTTTGTTGATAAGTAAAGTACAGTCCCTTAGCAGTTTCCACATTGTTAAATAACTACAGATCCCTGCAGCACTCAGGCAGCGTGTTGACATGTGAAGTCAAACACTTCAGATCATGTATGAAATCTGAATCACTTCCTCAGCTTTAAATTATCACTTGTGTCTGTTAAACTCAGCTGTAGTTGATTAAATACACTCCGACTTTATTCCTACTTTACTCTCCTCAGCTGGTCTGCCTGCTGACAGGAGGAGATAAAGAGTAGACACTATCTCTGCTGTCAGCTGATTAGGAACATTCCCTTAATGTAATGTGATTTCTGTATGATGATACATGGAGAGCAAATTAACTCCAAACTGACGAGTGAATGTGGAGAGAAACACTTGAAACAACACAGGCGGGGTCCTGTTCATCACATCCTACTTCCTGTCAGTCAGGAATGTGTTTATTATCACGTCAACTGAACGAGCTGCAGGTACGAACTTCTCTGTGTGCAAGTACTGAGTGAGATTATAACGGGTATATCCAGTTTGTTAAGGGACTGTTCTTCACTTATTTTATTTATCAGAGGAGGGGGAGGCTGGGGTATGACTTTGCTTTAGTCGTGCAAACGGTTTATTTTTGGACAAATTTTCGATAACTTTACAGTTTTTGGCCGAAATAAATGGTGTGATTTTGGTTATTTTTCAAGAAAACATGCCTTCCAAACCTACTGTGCATGTTTACTTTAAAAATGTCAAATTCAGAAGTTGGGTTTTTTTTATTATTATGGCATAAAAGGTTTAAGAAAATGTAAAGATTAAAAAAAATATATAAGTAATAAAAATTTAAGGATTGTTTTTAAATCTAAAGAAAAATTTACGATTTTTTCTATTTCAAGAAAAAATGAAAGAATCTTAAAAAAGGAAGGCTTTTTGTTTTAAATTTAAGTCAAATGTAAGGTCTTTTTATTGAAAAGAAAATTTAAAGGTATTAAAAAAATGGGGGGAAAAAAATCAAAAGAAAACATAGGCAGGTGTTTTTAAAAAAAAAAAACAGAGGTAAAAAACAACAACAAAAAAATACAACCAATGCACCACCCCTCCATCCTCATAAGTAGCGAACAGCCCCTAAGTTAGTTAGCTCTGCTTAACACAGATATCATCATCCTGGTTGGTGAACTTGTGTTGGACGTAAACTAAAAGCAGTTGTTATCATGAAAAGCAAACATTTGACATGTGCTCTGCTCAGGCACCAAGATCACAAACATACAAAGCATGTTATTGTTTAATGATTATTAGACATGGCGCTCAGGTGAGAATATCTCCAGGATCCTGTCAGTCAAAAGTTTACAGCTTCACACAGACGTCAGGTTTACGGAGCTGTTCGACCTGCTGCTGCTGCACTGAGTGAGATGCAGTTCTTGGTGCAGTGGGTAGGGCATTGATTTTGTCTTCCTTGGTAAACAGTAGGTCTGACGCCCACCTTAGATGTTTGGCGCAGTGTGTTCTTCATGATGCTCCTTCCCTCTGCCATGTTGGTCTTTTTTTTTACAGACACATTAGACTGTGATGCAGCTTCGAGGATCCTTCTTATTTCAGCGCCCTGTCTTTGTTGCTGCACATCAGGTCAATCACTAAATTATTCTCTGTGTAGTCTCACACATGCTGTCTGATTTTCAAGAGGAAGCTGGATCCAAGTCGGTCGTAAAATTAGAGTCAAACCTTTTGAAGTTTTT